TGATGGTAGCTAACATAGTAGACTCAGCCGCGATGAAGTATCTGAATACTTTTTTCTCTGAGTAATCGCATTTGTGATATCATGCGATGCTCTATTCGGACACAGCGAAGATGGCTTACAGAAAAAATCGCTCCTGATTCGGAGCTAACACTGAGGGTGTAGAGCTTTCAAAGAAAAAGGAGAATCCGAAGTGTTATTTACGCATAGCAAATTTCTCACAGGAAGGAGGAGCGCCCGGCGTAGCCGGGCGAACCCATAAGAAGGAGGGAAGCCCGGCGTTAGCCGGGCGGCCCGACTGGCAATCTTTGAAATTAGCAGCATCTGGTTGGATGGTGTCGGAAAGGGATTATTCCTGTCTAACATCTTGAAAAGAATTTCTGCATATTAAGTTTAGTCCTATTCTATGGTCACTCGAACCAATTAGGAACTCCTTCCCGCTTTTCACTCGTGTTACGGTGATGGAACTCCTTCCCATCACCGTAACCTGAGTGTAGAGCGGGAAGGGGTTCCTGATTGGTTCGAGTGACCGTAGAATGGGCCAAATTTTCAAATAGTCATAGAACACTTAGTATCGTCGCGAGATTCATCGCGAACGACTGTAAGCTCTTACAAACTCGCTCCTCCCAATCTCATTCATCAGGCGCTGGGAGGGTGGTCCGTTATATAGAGCGGTTGGTGTAGTGGGAAGAGAACCCGAACGTGTTGAAGCACGAGTCTCATTGGGTCATTTTTTCAAGCTGAGCTGAAAAATCGAAAAATAAACCTTTATTCGTATCAATAGATTCGTCATGAGGGCGGTTACATTTTGTAAGTTACATATTGTTAATTTAATTTTCGCTACGGTTATCACAAAGTGACGGTTAAGAGTGAGTGATCGCGAACGTCGACATTCTATAAAATATGGGCAGTACTGCACATGTACTGCAATTATCGGCTGCTCCATCAAGACCATCTAGTAATTTGCCATTGTTGAACATTCATAAGTCCTTCATTGTGTGTAACTTCTTAGAAAATCTTATAAGAAAGACATTTAATTGTGCTGGGGTTTGAAAGGAATGTAGTTTGTGTATTGCTTGGAGAAACTCAAAAAATACGGGCATCAGGTACAATAACATTGAGATATTGGCATCTATTACGCTCGTGGACACGGTAATCGACACATTCGTTCCTCGACTTCCTTCTCTTTACATTCGGCTTCCTCCCAATCACCATTTCGACCTTTCTGTACACGGCGTCTTCGCACTTGCACACCTTCACCACAGCTAACCGAACAACGTGACCATCGCGACCATGAACCCACTCGGCATTGAGCTGATGCTAAAACAGACGTTTCGAGGTTGTCGTTTCGGTCAGCGAATAGGGCCATGGGTAGTATTCTACCCAAACTTACGACAAGGTCGAAGTTCGCATCTGAGCTCTTGAATCAAATGTTCTGGACATGGTGTTCCACCATTACGTGGGAATGTCTAAAAAGGAATTCAAAGGCTTGGGCACTTCGATTCATAACATTCATTCGATACCAATATGGTGACTCACTTTGATTTGCCTTGTTCGAGTTCGTTTTCCTCGTCCACAGGTCACCGAGCAGCCTCCCCACGGTGTCCATTCGTTCATTTCACAAGGTACAGGTTGTCCTTGAATTAAGTTCCTGTTCCATTCTGATTCATTTTGTACCGCACTTCACAGCCTTTGGTACGATCTCACGAATGGGCGGTCATGAGTTAGTGCCAAGAAGGGCCGCTACCGAAATTATGGATCAAAGGTTGAATTTTGGGCTGTTTCCCACGTGGGTAAGCCGACCTTTCCTTTCTCTAGGACTAGTACCAGGAATATTCCAAAGAGGAATGCTCCATTAAGGTTCGCTTTATCATTGCTCGTTACCCATCGAACTGGATTAATGCACGGGTAGTTCTCCCAGTTATTCAAGCTAACTTTGCGAAACGATGGTGGGTAATGAATCCTCATAAAATTCATTTATTAATTAAACAAAGTACGTCTTGTAATGAGTAAAACTTACCACCGTCATTGACTTCTGCTATTCCTAGTTCATCGATAAGCTGATGATTAGGTACTGCAAAGGAATTTATATAAAATCTGATCAAATACCTAGCAGGGAGGGAATTTGAAGTTTATAGAGTCTTGAAATGTTCCAACTGACAAGATTAGCTTTGGTAACTATCAGAGAAAAAAAAGCGGGTCCTAAGACCTTTCTCCACCTCCCTTTATTCCCAAAAAGGCCTATTAAGACCTGTCAGGAAGGAGGGTTAGGAAAGAATCGAGGTAGCCGTCTCAGCTTTGTATGAACCAGTCTTGATTTCTAGTCAAAACATCATCTCTAAATTTCCAATCACTCAAAAACTTTATATGGAATCAGATCTCACCTGAAGATTTCTCATATCCTTCGAAACATGCCCGTTTGCATTCATCCTCAGTATCGAACTGGTTACGGTTTCCCTTGAAATGAAGTGATAAGCAGAGGTTGCAAAAGGTTTCATGGGACTGACCTTACACCCTGTGAAAATGAATCGTTCACATCTCTTCTTCTCATGATTGTACCAATATCGTGGGAAAGTTCCTCCACATTGACCTTCCTCTTTGGGCTCCTGACAGATTTCTGAAAAACGCCTTCAGTTTCGTTTGAAATAATATGTTTCGAGAAAAAAGACTCTCTAATTAAAACCATTTGCTACAAAAAGGAAAAAATCTCCTAATGAGCTGAGGCCTACAATGTCAGAAAATCAAATTGTCCTATTAGTTGGGTTTCTTTCATCTGACCGCAACTCAGTTATACATTGACTGGTATATAATGCTGCAGGAGAGACTTCTCGTATGAAAGAATCTGGCACGGGTCTGCGTCTTCGGTGAATTATGAATTTGGAGGGGCTAAGCAGCAACTCGAGCTTGGCCATATTACTTATTAAGCCAACAACTAACTTTATAGTCATAGAATTTCAGATTAGTTTGTATCACCAACCTTCAGAGTTCTGCTCAAGGAAACGTCGGCAAGACTGCAGGATACAGGTGTCCTTTTCTTGAAGGGAGACATGTGAACAGCGCTAAAGGTTCACAGTTTTTATCCATTAAACGGCAAATGTACCACAAGTATTTGTATTGCATAGCTCTTGACAGAAAAGTCTTCTGAGGTCTTCCGAGAAAAGTCTTCGATACTTCGTGCCAGAATACTGATGCATCTACAGTTGAAGAAATGTCACGCGTTTCTTTTCTTTCCTCTTTTATCGTTTCTGATGCGGTCAACAAAGCTTTTACTCTCGATTATCCCAGAGCCAATTACTTTACTTTTGTCATGAGCCCTGACTAGCTTTCACCCGGTCTTCACCTTTGCCCCCAAAATATCTACTGTCCTCGTCATGCGTCTTCCTGCTCTTGTATGGCAATTGAACTATCACATGCACGGTCAGGGGTTCGAATCCCGGATCGGTGCCCGCCCAGGCCAACCAAGCCTTCCATCCCTCCGGGGTCTGAGAATTGGTACCAGACTCGTCTGGGAGGATAAAAGCACTGACTTGTACATCGGCTGGCCACCGCAAGTCATTGTATAGGCCACATACGCACTCACTACGCCACTACGATTCTGAATGGAAGTCGAGTGCGGGGGCGCATCTCTCAGACGGGATTGATTACCGCCAAAAACTTTAGCCTTTAAACTTTATCCTTTTATCCGGTTAGGAGTGTCTACAACTAATTACAGCCCAATTTGGATATTACTGCTGAATTATCTTATGGTTAAGTATTACAGGATACGCCGTGCACTCGTATTTCTTAGTTATGTGTTGGAATGCGAGCTTGCATTTTCCATCCTCTTGCACCGAGGGGTTATGTAGTGAAGGTTCGCTTTGCACCAAGCCTGATTAACCTACTAAACAAGTCATCTTCAGCTTTGGCAGAAACTGATCTGATTACCATCGCAAGCCTTCGTACTATCGTACCATGTTACTGCGACACCCACCTACCAATTAGTGGTAGGAAGCTTGGACTATGACATTGCGCTTTTGTAGGTGCAAAAATCGCTTTTAAATAGAGTTTGAGCAGTTGTAAAGCTCACTTGTTCATGTTCTGCATAGAAGAATAGTCGAGTGCGTACACGTACGCCATCATCGCAACTGGCACTACATGGCGACCATTCACTCCACGATGTCGTCCGACAAAGTGGATCGGGAGTTACGGAACAGTCGTCGCCAGATTCTCCTAAAGCACGCATTTCAAATGGACAGTTCTTCCTGAACAACGCCAACGTAGTATAATGAACAACGATATAGTATGAGGAGACCACTTACCCACGCAAAGATCCTTCCTTATCAAATCCACATTGCATTCGCTTTCGTTCTGCTTAGGGTTTAGGAACGACCTGAATATTCTTCAATAGATCGAAAAAATTCAATGCATTCCCGGTACACCATTTAAAATGAAAAATTAATTGGGTCGGTCTGTAAATGGGAGAGCTTCAAAGGGAAATCGATCTGTGACGACAACTCCCATGCCTTACCACACCGTCACCAGGCGAGTTTTTGTACCCAAAAGTCTCACTTTTTGTGAGCCTGGTTTAAATTGAGAATCGAACCCTTCAATTGATAATGACTCCACCAAACAGAGAAAATCGGGTAAAACTTGATTGACTTCAAAACTCATATAATACTAATACAGTACGGAAAGAAGTGCTCTCTCAAAATGAAACGGATGTTTCTACAATGGAGGGGAAATCGGAGAGCTCGCAGAGTTCTTTGGGAAAGGATGAGAATTGAGTAAAAGGGAACTGTAAATGAATGTCAGACTCCATTTTTTATGCATCTATTTTTTTCCTTAGCTCTTCTGCTCTGAGAGACTAAACATTTCCAGATAGCCGAAGCCTTTTCACCAAGTAAAGTTGAAAATATAAAGGAATTGTATGTCTAGTTTGCTAGCAATCCAAGCATTATGGGTGAAGATTCTTGCAGGGCTATTGGAGAGTTGCACCGAGAACCTTACTGACCCCTTTTGCCGGTTCTCAGCCAGTTGAAATAGGCTCTATTTACCATCAAGCTTAGTAACTACCGTGTCCTGCTCCTCGTACCATGTCCACAGGTGACTGAGCATTCACTCCACGGTTGCCATGATCCCACAGCGCATTTAGAGTTGAAAGCTTCCGAATCTTAACAGAACAATTCCTATCATTGATTGCGAGCTTACAGAAAGTTCATGAAAATTCAATAGAACGAGATAGCTGAGAACTGTCTTTCCTTTACTGAAACCTACTTTATCAACTGGTATGATCACTGCTTACTGAAGGGTAACCTTTGAAAAATCAAATAAAAGTATAAGTCGGACCAATACTGAAAATTTGTAAAAGTTCGAATGGTAAAACTAATATGTCGTCGATAGGCAATTTTGATACCATTATTACTTATTACTGTTACGGAATAACTACGTGTAATCGTTCAATAACTATAACTGCTATGTAAAAAGTTCAGGTTACCTTCACATTCATTGATTTTTGCGTTACAGAACTGTCGTTCGGTTGTTTGGCGATGGCATTGGAACATTTGAGCCTAAATAAATACCTATTGGAGGATTTATGACAAAGTTCTACGTAAATAATCTCGATATTGGAACGACGAGGGATAGAGCGATTGATTTCTGCTCAGGACCCATAAAGATTTGGTGAAGCCAATACCAGAGGCTTACTTCTACCAGTTTATATCCCAAGCGGTAGGTAAATGCGTAGCTGCTTAATATTTTTCCTTACCGTTCTGGGTAACGGTGAACTAACTCATTTCCTCTCTTTTCATTCCTTTCAAGGAAACATTATCAATGACATACCCTACCTTTATAGGGAAGACGAATACTCTGCTTCGCATTCTAATTCCTTTGCCACAAGTTGCCGAACACAAAGACCACGATCCCCAATTCGACATAAGACATTCTCCTGAAAGCCAGATCGATAGTCATTTCAGAACCAGTGGGTTGCTTTTGGGTCTGCTGGGAGTACCGAACAGAATGTCTGGGGGAGGGGCAACTAGCTAAGGCTACATACTGTGAGCAGATCGGGACTCCTACCATACGCTCAGAGTTCCTCATTTCCGTCCGTGCACCTTTTGATTCAATAATTTTGATTTCAAGAAGCTTAATTGTTCACTACGAAGAAAGAAAGTCGAATATTATCGACAGATAAGCCACAACGTACGCCTGTCTTTGTACTCTTCATCTTCACTGGTGTTCGTGATATTGAAAGCTTCACGTCTGTATTCATCATCCGATTGACATCTCATTGGGATTACCTGAGTGGAATTGTTTTGGACTATCGGAATTTCAAGCAAAATGGAACTCACCTCTGTTCGTTTCAGGATGAGCTTAGCCAGTGGCGGAATGGTGTCGGTTTCAGTTGAGTAGAATGGTGAAAGTGGATCATCCTTTGTGGTAATCCATTTGATCGGAGCACGAGGTTCCAACGGGGAGTTCGGTGACTGAATTAAGTAAACAAACGATAGGTTGAAAGTGTTGAAATATACGAGAAATTGGATCGTAAACGCTCTGCGTTACTGTAAGAAATTCAAAAGTATTTGTCAACTGATAAAGTATTTAATACAGCGGGTCATGAGCATGACCACTTCTAACTACAATGGTTCCGAAATCTACTCGTAGGTGCTTCGCACAGTTTTGTTTTGGACTGCACATCTGCCGGTAGTTCTTTGAACCGGAGAGAAAAACCAAAATTACCATATAAGTGGGCCCAGAATCGGTTCCAGCATCAAAGGGTAACAGGTCGAAAGTCCTTTCAGCAACCCATGAACAGTCAGGAAGGCAGAGATTCACTGACGAAATGCCCACACACCAATCTGGTGACGGACCGAACATGGTTGCCAATGAGGCCAAGTGATGGTATCTGAAAGTGGCACTTTGAGCCAAAAATTGGTCTTTCCTGAGAAGCTGCTGTTCAAAGCGCACTTGTTCACGACGAAGCTTGACTTGGTCCTTCCTTGAACCTCTGGATACCACAGGCCCTTCACTTTCATGAGCGTTCGAACTTCGGCTGCCTATAAATCAGTATTGCTAAGGTTTTTCTCAGTGTGTATGGCTACTCACCTTCTCTTTAGCTTCAGCTTCTGCTTTGAAAGTGTTTCCCCATTCGGCTATTTCCTTCATACCATCCGTAGAAATGCCACCAATTTTCCACAAAGAGTAATTTTTCGAGTGAGACGCTCCAAGCATGTCTGTGAAGTGTGTCAGGTGTTCCACTGAAAAATCAGTAAGTTGGTTAACATATGCTTAAGTGACGCTATGAACTCTCGGACTTGGGAAAAGGTCGCCCCAAGAAGATTCCTTACTTTCAATATTCGGTCGTCAAAGAATACTAGTGTGTTCATAGGTAATAGAGCCTGTCAAAAAGTGGCCAAACAACTTGAAAAGTAGTAATTGCTCATTGTTGACTGACATGTCGGGTAGTCTTTGGGGTGTGTTTCCTTGCTCCATATTCCAATGAACTCCAGTTCGTATTTCGCTTGGTCACATGCACAGCATTCCATATTCGGATCATCGACTGGTACTACTTTTTGGTAGCCTTCTATAAATGAGAATAATTATCAATGTAGAGGATATAAGAATAGCTGCCTGGAGGCACGATAATGCAGAATGATGCTTTTGATAAAAGTAAAACTCGAGATCCATAAGAAATGAACAGTTAGACAGGGAATGAAGGTCGAAGCCAAACCTTCTACGCAGAACTTCCTTGTGAGTTGTCCTTCCTCTGAGTACCACACATATTTCGATTCGATGACAGAAGCACGGAAGATGACGCAACCTTTGGATACCTGAAAGGTTCGGTGTAATAAGGTGGACTACAGTTTGGGGATGCTTGCGTGGGAATGAGCTTACATCTGGGGCTTTCCACGTCGCTTCGATGGATGTCTTTGGTCGAAGATTTGAATGGGAAACACCAGCTTTTCGACATCCGGGCGACGTACGAGCATCGCCTTTTCCACGCACTACCTAAATCCATTGTAGTGACTAGGGCTACTGAAATAAACTGGAGGCTTTGAGATTATGTTGGCTACTTATTTATTGTTTATACAGGAATATTCGAAGTCAGTCATTGCTTCAGAAGATATTGGGATCCAGGAAAGAGCAACATCTCTGTTTTTTCGTTTGGTTGAATAGAAGTGCATGCTAAAAACTAAGTCCGTCCTGATTTTTCGACTATTACTCCTAATCGATCATTGCCTTTCTCTCTTGATCTCATTGTTATATTTGGATGGAATTAGCATGTCTGAATGGAAGGCGAGTTGGTGTAGTGGAGATTGGCAAATCAATGCTGGAGGAATGAAAGGTTTGATCGGCCTGGGCTAGTATCGATCCGAGATTTGAGTCGTGAACCACGTTCTTTTGCCACTACACCACCACACCCCTTGAAAAAGACCGAGCACCCCTAAATACATTACAACGGTGCAAAGGAAGTCAATGCTCGGGAGAAAAATAGCTAAATCGAAGTGGAATCAAGAGAAAAATGACTTTTTGGATCTATCAATTGAGTTGAATGTGACAGCAGTCAATCTGCATGCATCCGAAATTTCAGCAAGAAAGATCCATACAATGAATACAGTACAACAGAAGTAAATGCAACTTCTAGATAATTGGAATATTCGACACCTCCAATTTTTTTAAATCAACTTTTTTTGAAGTGTCAGAAACCACTGTTTTTTTTTTTGGGAACCGCTCATTGGAATATCGCACGGTGTTCTACAAGGGATTCAAATAAATAAGTAAATAAATAAAGTCGGAAATTGGTAGGAAAAAAGGATTTGAATGCATAACCTCGAATGATCCATCTTTACATAGTGGAAATAAATAGTTTGAATAATTGATCATAGATTTAGAGCATGCAATGGAAAGCTATCAGGATGAATAACTTGGAAAAGATTGTATGAAGAACGGTGTCCGTGGTACCTCAAATTTTCCACCTGGTTTTCCATCTTCAGTGAGAGCACTTAGAACAAAGCCACGAAATGTTCGAACGATGAACTTCGTTCTCCATCCTCGAATTGTAACTGCAAATGAATGATGAGTTTGAGAAAGGTACTTGATATGTACCAAAGGCAAGGTTACTGGCTAGGTCAAATCCAAAGGGACCCTCCAATAAATATGAATGAATGATTTGGGGATACGATAAGATTCGGAGCGTTTTAAACTAGTTGTTGGATCAGTTTTAATCAGGTATTGTGATTTTGTTCGTAATAATTTTTGGGTACCTTGAACGGCCTGATATGGAAGGATGTAGTTCTATACAGCCACCAAAGCAACTTTGTTTTGAACAAACCTTTCATCTATGACAGATAGCAATCTAAACCGTGAAAGTCAAATGCATGGCGCATTCCAAAGAGATTGAGTTACGTTAAGCACTCTAGTTTTTAATTTGTACATTTGTCGACTTTGATGCTACAGCTGTTAATGACGCAACAACCTGGCAGCGATATTGATCGATCAGCTTTTATTTACGATGAGCTCGAATCAATAAAAACCTAAACAATGCTGTAACAATACTGTTTATGCTGCAGTGCAATGCAACTCAAGCATAGCTATTCGTCCTTTTTCCGATGAACTTTGAACGTTAACTGTGTAATTTTGGATTTTTTGAAGGTTGCTAGCCCCAGTCGATTCTTAGCCAAAGTGCATAGTTTTATTTCATTAATGTTTTTGTTTACGTTAGTAATCATAAACATAAACAAATTCAAAAATGCCTAATATTATATTTGACAAAAATATAATAAGTGACAAAAATGCTGCATAGAACGCCTTTCTTATTTCACTCTTGAACAAATTCAGAGTAATCACGTGTACAAAGAAAGAGAACTTCCAAACAATAAGCAAAGGGAGTTAGCAGAGTTTTAATAGAGCAAAACTGTAGGAGATTAAATGGTAGGAGTTGAGTAGGAGCAAAAGATTATATATAGTAATGTACAAAAAGGTATTATTCGTCACTCGCCCTTACACAGGTCTTTCAATGAGGGATCGCAGAATGGACTACTTGCCATGTACAGATTTAATCTGAGTTTTCCCTAGAATCTATAAGATCGCGACAGCACAAGCTGAACTTTTTTCGATTATAAAAGTAGTCTCTGGAGCTGCCTAAGCTTATGGGCGCTACCTTCCCCATCCTCGCTCCTCTTACTCCTTCTACACTTCCGTCCTCCCCACCCTTCCTCGATGTACAAAAGCCCTTAAACTGCTGCTCACCCTGTTTGGTATCGAAGAACCATGGCCACTTCGCTTCTAAGGATTTTCTCTCCTACTTTTCACCAGACATACTAGGAAAAGTCCTCCAGTGAAAAGTTACTCATCACAGCAAACATGCAGTGGGTACTAAGTCATAGGCAATTCCACAAGGAAAACTTAAGAGGGGCTGGTTCGTAAAGAATGAAAAAAAGCTCAAGAGAACTTCATAACAAAAAACTCTCTCAAAAGCCGTCTAATTATGTGGGATGTAAGAAAAAGGTGAAAAAATCTTTCGTAGAACTTGACCATTACTCCTTTTGCATCATAAGTTATAGTGACAGTACCTTTGTAAGTTTCTCCTGGTATGAATCCATCGGCGGTACTGTTTTCGTCAATAACAGGCCTAAGTTCTATGACGTAACCATGATTTCCAGGACGTTTCTGGCCTTTAGCTTCATATGGTTTGATTGAGCATTGCTTGGCAGCATAACTGAGCAGTGCCGTGAGCAGTACGGTGAGCAGAACTACGAGCAGCCTCATGCTTGTGCAGGAAGCCTACCCTGTTCCGATGTAGGAGATCAATACGAAACGAATCAATCACCTCTGAAGTAATACAAAAGCAATTCTGTACAAACAAATAAAATTCCAAAAAATGGACTCAAGAAGAAACATTGAGAGCAGAAAGAGAATAGGAATCGATTGGGAGGGTTCCAATTGTTCCTGGCTGTATTCTGAGGTCAGGTAAGAAAGCCGGATGCTGATCCCGCTCTTCTGCTCTCAGAACGCGGCTGTTTCCTAGTGATAAATGGCCTAGGATAAGCCTACGAGCGGCCAAGTGCTTTATTTCTCTGCCCTCATAAATTATCCTCTAAATCTGCAAATCAGTTGTTGTAGCAGAGAATAATGGGGTGCCTTTCCTGATTCATAAGAAGGCCACTTGGAAACTCTCGTGATCGATTGGAATTTCATTTCGTGCCTGTTGGAAGATTCGAATGTAAAAAATGACAAACCGGCACTACCCTTCCAAAATCCGATGTTATGATCCGCTATCAGTCCCTTCATGGACATTTTTTTCTTAGCAAGGTAACATACCCAACAAGGTTACAGGCACCCCGTGGAGCTGTTGGATGTCGTTAACGACCTTTCTTGGGAAGGTCAGATATGCCCTCACCTCTGCGCTCCCGTTTTATCACAGTGATCGCAAAAGTTCGGACCTGGTTGGACACACTATAAATCTGGAGAGCATAGGTTCAAAATAAACTTACCTCCACCTCCAAC